TCTATCTATATATATATATATATATATATATATATATATATATATATATTATATATATATATATAGATAGTAAGTAAATTAGATCATTAAATTAATATCATTAATTATATATATATATATATTTGTCTTCTTTACATCTTCAGTTGGACTTAACTTGAGTCCGGCAATTTTTCTTATAGTTGGACCTTTTAATATTCTACCAGGAGTTACACACGTGTTTCTAATACAACATGCAAACACACTCGGTCCTTTACATCTTGATAAAATCCATCTGAAGACAAAATGCTCTGGCTAATATAGATTTTCCTTTTGTGTACATATATATATATATATATATATATATATATATATATATATATATATATATTTGGCCAAGTATTTAGAAGAGTCGCTTTTCGATTCTGAGGCATCTAGCCGCTGATCCCAGTGAGTGGCGGCACCATACCACTGATTGACCCAAGCCTTGTGTGTGAAGATGGGTACACTAAACTATGAGATCCATCGGTGGTTGTATTAGCACGAAGTAGCAAGTCATTGTGAACTAAGGACTGTTCGGCATATTTGCAGTAAAAACCGCAGGTGGGCTGTGTAGGTGTTGATCAAACACAACTGTGCCTGACCAGACGTCTGCAAAAGGGATTGTCTGTCCGCCCTAGTAAACAAACATACTCAGATACGAACTGCCAGCCACCATTATATATATATATATATATATATATATATATATATATATATATATATATATATATATAATACTATATATATATATATATATATATATATATATATATATATATATATATATATATATACTGTTAAATATATGTCAACTTGCATGAAAATTATGTGTGCGTCCTTGTGTGCGAGAGGTTTCACTCAAAAGATTGTGGAATTTGAACCTTACGTGTATACATAATTGATAGATTCTGTAGCGACACTTGTCGCTCTTATTAATTAGTATAAGAGTATATCGCTTGAAATTATGCTTTTATTTATTAATGAAAGTCGGATGAAGTAAGGCAGTTATTCAGGGTGGGGTTATGTAGCTGGTGGGTATTGATTTCGCCTTCGCATAATATGACAGGAATAGAGAAGGAAAATAATAAGGAAGATTAATGAGGCCAACGCGATATAAGGAAGGAAGACTGCAATGGATGCAAACACAACACCGCAGATATGGAAAAGGTAATTGCTCTCAGGGATTTCTAAAACATATATTATTCATTTATTTATATCAGCCTTTTTTTTTCTCAATCCTCTGCAGGATTCTGGCCTTCCCATGCCTCTGAGAAATTTGCCTCAGTCTGCCATATTGTCTCATGACATATTAGGAGTGGATTTTTGAGTTGGCCTCCTCCTAGTCTCGTTGCCCTCGCAATGCACAAGAGCTCAAGCCGTCATTTTATTTTACATATATCATAAGGAGATAGATTTGTTTTATATTTTTTTATTTTGTTACAATTAACATACCCATTGAAACTAAACATATATATATGTATTGGGTTATTGCACAGAAAACATGTCAAAATCGCAACAAAATTGCAGTCGTGTTTCGATGCGTATCAAAGCATTGCATCAAGCGATTGTAACTTACCTGCGAGTGAACGATTTATCTAGATTGAAAAGCAAAATGCAACCTCTTTTTTTACGAAAAAAAGGTGGGTTTATAAGGTTTGGGGACTTTACTATGTTCAACCAATATATATATATATATATTAAATATACACAGAAATTATCATGTTTCGAAACTGAAATTTAATTCGAATCAAGATAATTATAATTTTAACCTCTACTTCTGTATTGAGCATTGTTTATTTGAAAATAAGAACATAAATAGTAAAGAACTTTGTATCATTAATCTGACTGTTTTTCCTATTAAATCAATACACACACATATATATGTGCGGGTGTGGCAACACTGTGTGGTGTAATGGTTAGCAAACTTGTCTCGCAAGAACAGTTATGACTGAGTAGTGAGTTCAATCCTCATTGGGTGCCCCATACTTTCGGCCTTCTCCTACGCTTAGAAAATCATTTTGGGGCACCTCGAGTGGTGTAATGGTTAGCAAGTTTGTCTCGTTAGAACAGTTACCATTGAGTAGTGAGTTCGATCCTCACTGGGTGTCCCATATTTTCTGCCTTGTGCCACATCTTAGCTACGCTTAGAAAATCACTATATGTGTGTGTGTGTGTAAATTAATGAGTACTTTCAAACATCAATGGCCATTTTCAAGAACTGAATACATTATGGTTTTGAAAGTCAAGAACACTTTGATGTGCGTGTTCCTTCTGCTTTGATATTTGGAGTTTGGAATGTTATATTTTAAAGTTTGTTTTGACACACTGATTACCTTATTTGTAGGCTGCTTATAAACAAATATAAAACGGTTTAAAGTGTTAAGTAGTTTTGGCTTGTGCAATTATTAAATATTTATTATAATTAATGGATCAATTCCAAGGTTGAAAGATATTTATCCAGTGCTGTTTTTTTTGTCTCTGTTGGAATTTCAGGGACGGGAAATTATCTTTTTACATTATTTATATATTCAGATTAATGCCGTCATGTTTGTTGTTATCATAATCTTTCGATTGTTGTGCCCTCCAGTTTGAAATTCAGTTACCTAGATAAACAGACACCAAACCTGAAGAAGAGTTCATTAGCTGAAACACTGTGATTATGGCAACAAAGATGAGAACATTCGTCCAATTGTAAATAATATATTTTTGTTTTGTTGTGTGTTTACATCGTTATAGCTTAATGCATTTGTAATCGTTTTTTATATAAAACTAAAAAAAATACAAAAAAATCATACTTTCACTTACTTCAGTTATCTGATACCTTGAATAAAAGGTCTTGTCTCTAGTATGCCACAATAGTTTACAAAGAGATTATCATCAGTGTTAAATTTTACAGTTTATAAAGAAGAAACTATCAGCAGTAATAATTTTTTACAGACCCATTGACATTCACAGTATCAAATTGTAATCGCATATATTTTTCAATTTATAAATACTAGATAATACTTATTTAGTTTAAAATAAATGCTATATTTCATTTTCAATATTAGGCTATGTATCTATGTGTATGTGGTGGAGCATAAGTTCATAACCTGATACACTTATTAACGGAATTTTTATCTGAAACTTGCATTATATAATATTTAATCAATGTATTTAATTGGAAAAAAATAGCTTAAGGGTAGGAACAAGTAAGGAGATTATACTGCAAAATAAATATGTGTTTAAAATAAATGTTTTTTTCTTATTTTCAGTATTAGGCTGTAAACTTTCTTGCTGGACCTATATATAATGTACACATCTACTGAAAACTATTTAAATCTATTTAAATCTATCGAAATCGCTACATATGTCAGAGTTAGCTTCCCCTTAATTTCCTAATTGTCACTTGGGCACGCTGTCCCTACACTATAAATACTGAGCTACTTCTTGCCACGTTCTCTTTTTCCTTTCTTCATTTCAGCGACTACAATGTAAGCTCTCTTAGAAGATTCGCGTCTTCCCATCTGCGTTTTGCCTACTTGTGACAAAACGCCATGAGACACACATACACGTACGTAAAAACATTCACCAATAAAGAAACTCTTTACGTTCACACAGAAACACAAATGTTGATGTCTATGTCCGTTGTAAATTTGTTGTTTAATACATATATTTGCTTGTTTTCCTTACATCTTCGGTTGGATTCAACTTGAGTCCGCCATGTTCTTGTAGTTGGACCTTTTTTTTTAGCAGGAATAAACGCATGTGTTCCTAATTCAACAACACGTAAACCCCCGGTCCGGTACACATATCTGTCGACGTGGTGTAATGGTTAACAAGCTTGTCTCGCTAGAACAATTACGACTGAGTAGTGAGTTCGATCCTCACTGGGTGCCCCCTACTTTCGGCCTTGTGCCACATCTAAAGTACGCTTAGAAAATCAATATTTGTCTGTCGGAATCGCTACATATCTGTTTATTGAAATCGCTAACTGTCTCAGCGTCTTCATATCTATCAACCTTTACAAAGACGCGTATGTACGTATAAGTTGAGGTTACGTATATATGCACACAGTTATATTTGTATATACACATACAACATATACAATGACTTACAGGCGTATGAATTATACGTAAATATATAAGTACTACAGATGCTTATATGAAAAGAGATACGTGCCTCTGTTTATGTACATCGCCACATATATTCAGCACTTGTCTTGGCTGCTCGTAAGAGGGACAGGTAACATGCTTTTCTTCTGATATAAAACTGGTAATAACATGGAAATGTCTCCCCAGAAAATCTAATATTCTGGACGATAACTTTGTTTACAGGGAGAAACAGTTGATTTGCAATTAGTGGCTAGAATAGACTGATAGCGTGAGTGCCGATGTAGCCCCGATAACTACAGATATGCTATTGTAAGCCATACCTACACACAGGCTCACTTAGGCATGAAACGCAGATATGCAGAAATATATGTACACAGAGAGAGTGAAGGTGAGAATAGAGACTACAGTCAAGAGAGAAAGAACGAGAGAGATCATTCATCCGGTTGTACAGGTAAACACACAAAAAAAAATGATGTATATTTATTTAGACAGGAATTTATTCCATGTAGAAATTGCAGCCTTTGTAAGTATGCAGAGCTGCTGATTATGAAGCCGTCAGTAAGATTATGTCGCACCAATCTTCTACGCGAGGAGATCTTGTTTAATTTCAAAGTCAGCATTAGGCATGCTGATTCTGAGAGAGGTTTTGGACACTGACCGCAGCTGTCAGAATGCAAACATGTAACTATGACAAGCATAAAAATAAACAAGTTATTGGAAGCTGGCGAGATAGATATTTACAAAACTGAACTTCGTACAGCACTCAATCACACGCGGTAAAATATGAGTTAAGTAGATTGTATGAACCAATCTAGCAAGTGAGAAGGACATGTCTATCTTGAGAATCAGTATTTTAGAACTACTTAGGTTCAAGCAGAAATCATTCACTTTAGGAAGAAAATATCTTGGCTATGATTGTAGACCCTAACTGGATAGATAGATAGATAGATAGATAGATAGATAGATAGATAGATATATGAATAGAAAGTAATAGAAACTAGGGGTACTGAAAAGTTATTTGGCCAATTAAATGTGATATATATATATATATATATATATATATATATATATATATATATATATATATATATAGAGATAGAGAGAGGGGAGAGATGAGAGGGGAGAGATGAAGTGATATAAAGACAGAAAGAGAGACATATGAATAGCATATAATAGATTAAATGAGTGCTGAATAGAGTTTCATACAACGTATATATATATATATATATATATATATATATATATATATATATATATATATATATATGAACATCTTATAGGGCGTGATGGTTAGCAAGCTTGTCTCGCTAGAACAATTACGACTGAGTAGTGAGTTCTATTCTCACTGGGTGCCCCATACTTTCGGCCTTGTGCCACATCTAAGCTACGCTTGGAAAATTACTATATATACAACGTCACGTGATACTAGATTGTGTAAAAGACGACGAGCTAACCGCGTTGATCAATTTGGATCAGTCATGTTTATATATATATATATATATATATATATATATATATATATATATATATATATATATATCATATTGTGCTCTATAAGTGTCTTTGCTGGTAAATTTGCCTCTGTCTCCCAGTCTATCTATCTTCTCTCACTTTCATATATATATATATATATATATATATATATATATATATATATATATATATATATATTTAAAAAAAAAACAGACCACTTTAAAGTACCATTATAATAATTTATTTCACAAAAGCCCATTTGATGGACGTCGGATCATCAGATAGCACTTCCAAAAATGAAATGAAATTAAAATTGATGGGTAGTGTAAGTTTTTGTAATTTAACAGAGAGTGTAAGAGGGATAGTTAAAGAGACATGGGAGAGTATAGGGAGGGATTAGTTTCATATCTCTCTCAAGTATACTTTATATTGGGGGAGGAGGAGTGACCAGACCTTGACCTATTTAGATGGTTAACTTAACGGAAGTGATATATAGAAATGGGATGGGAGTATGGAGAAAAGAAAAAGGAACTCTTAGGATTTCATCCTCCTTGGGATTACCCATACGGATTACCAAGTTCTTCATAACAACTATATATATATATATATATATATATATATATATATATATATATATATATATATATATATATATATATATATATATATATATATATATATATATATATATATATATATATATATATATGCATGCGTGTGTGTGTCTGTTTGTATGGAGAGAGAAAGCGTGAGAGCAGATGAGGGGACAGATAGACAGAGAGGGAGTGAGAGACTTGGCAGACAGTGAAACTGGGAGACTGAGAGATAGAAAAGATAGCGTGTCAATTTCTGTTGCAGACACCTGCTCAGTCACATTTGTGTTTGTTCACAGAGCCCATCAGTCATTTATACTGCAACTATACCGTGTGAAAATTAGTTTCAATTTCTGGGAGAGCACGTAAATCTGTCATGATTAACAATGCCATATACACTCAAATCCTCGGTCACGATGACTTGTGACGATGCTGGCACAAATATCAACAGATGCTCCATCTACCTGTTTTCATTCAAAAGGCTTGGGTCAACAAGTGCTATGGTTTTCAGGCACTTTCCAAACGCGCTGCATGCTAACATCACCCTCCCCAGATATATAATATTGAGAAGTCACTTTCCTGATAAATCAACAAAGGTGGGATTCGAACAGGGGACTTGAAAGCTAACATTCTAACCACTCTGCCATAGTGCCAAATAAAAGATGAACAATTTTTTTTTGCTACATTTGAAACATTCAAAGTAAAGACAAAGGAAAACATCGCAAGAGTAAATAAACATTAAGCCATTGGAAAAATAAAAACTGAAAATTGGGAAGAAAAATAATTAAAAAAAAAACTGAAATAAAGAAAATCAGAGAACTCTTTTCAATTTTTTACTCTTACTCGTTTGAATTCAAAGGATATTCTTGAGAACCAAAGGCAGATGTTCCATCCTAAGCAGGTTGAAATTTTCATATGTTTAGATTTTTTCCAAGTCCACCTCACTAGCAATGCTTAAAAAGGTGATAATTTTGAAAGCCAAGCCCCACACAATTGTCTCTTGTCACCAATATCCAAATCGGTAAATTTTATTTTGCTTCATTTACTTACCATTTTTTTTTTGTTGTTTTGTTTACTGGATTTTATTTTCATATTTAAGTTACGAGTAAAAAAAATACTGAAATTTTGTAACAGGTATTTGTACAGAAATGCAGCAAAAAATAAATAAATAAAACGAAAAAAAAAATGAAATAAAAGAAGAAAAGAAAGGTTTTTAGAGAAAAGAAAATTTAGTGTGAGGGGGGATGAAAAGGATTTAAGTGATTAAAATCAGTGAGAAATGAAAGAATGTAATAGAGAGAGAGGAGGAAAGAGGAAGAAAATGTGGAAGAAAAAGGAATCACAAACTAAAGAGGAAACAAAAAAAAGAAAGGGGGAAAGAAACAAAATAGTGAGAAGAGGGGGAAAAGATAAAGAGAGAAAATAAGGTTGGGAAAGGTAGAAGTGAGGAGAGGAAGTAATGAAGTAAGTGGTGAAAGGGGGCGATAAGAGGTAGAAAAGCAAAAAAGAAAGCATAAAATAAGAAAAGAAAAGTCTAAAAATGAGAGAAAGAGACAATATAACAAGAGAGACAAAAACGAGGAGAGGAAAGAAAGGAACAAAGTTTAAAATAAAGAGAGTATAAGACAATGCAGGGAAGAAATCAAGAAATCAGAGAATAAGATATAGAAGAAAGAATTAAATTATAGAGGAAAGAGAAAGAGAGAAGAGAAAAAAAGGTAAAGGAAATGAGAGAAAAAGAATTAAAAAGAGAAATTGAGAAGATGAAGGGCGGAAATGATTTTGGGGTGCTTTCCTGTCCCGTTCCCGACGGGCCTGTTGTAAATTATTACTTTTCGATATTGATGATAATAGCTGTTTCCTTATAAGGAAACATTCGGCATCCACTGACCGAGCAGCCGGTACTACTGTCGGTTGAAATTTATTAAAATCTTTCTCCTAAAACAAATTTTCAGGAAAACAAGTTTGTCAATTCCACTAACTGTTATAGCTCTTTCCATTGTCGATCGGAGTTTCCTTCCTAACCTTTTGTTTGAAGTCGTGCGGAATGGGAACGCCTTATTTCATTACTTTTTCTTCCACTTACATGTGATATCCATTTTAGCGGTTGTTGTTTTTTTTAAAGCCCTCGGCTGACGGGGTTTCTGTTATTTGATACGGTTCTTTTTTAGTGATTGCTTAGCGCCTGTCCACAAGGTTCGAAGAAGAAGGGTCTTCGCCAAGAGTCACAGGCCTCACTCGCTGAAAGCCATTTTTAACCAATAATCTGGGAAAGCGGTTGTATACAGCTGACAGTTTAGATATTTCTGAACGGGTTTGGAGCTATGCAGTTCATCCATATGAAAGCCCCGATCTGACAGGGCTAGTTAGGAACACGTCTCGAGTTTTGTCTAATGTTTTGGTTTAGAAGCAACTGGTGATGTTGGGTGAAACTGCATCTAACGCAGCCTATTTTATGTTCAACTACATTTGTTATTACAAATCTATCCATCGAGTTATTGAAGTGTTTTTGTGCTCAAGGAATTACAGCAGTCTTTCCCTTATTCTAAATGTTCTTTCTGTCGCCATTTTCTTTAAGACTTCCTTGTTGCTTGCTCACCCCATCCATGTAATTCTCATAAACCTTCTGTAGAACGACGTTTCTTCTGCCTCTAGTTTTTATCTCATCTGTGGTGAGATTGTCCAGCATTCACTGCCATATAAGAGGATCGATAAAACATAGTAATCCAGGAACTCTTTTCTTTGTTTCTAACGAAAATTTTCCGTTTCTCAGCACCTTAATTAACTTTCGGTATGCCTCTTTCACCAGTCCAATGTGTGTTCGTATCTCTGTGTCGCATTTTCCATCCTCTTTTAAAAGGCTTCCCGGATATTTAAACTTCAGCTCTCTTTTCCTAATCTTTCTTCTTTCGCCATTCCAATGTGTGTTCGGATTTTGGTGTCGCCTTTTCATCCTCTGGTAAAAGGCTTCCCGGTTATTTAAACTTCAACTGTCTTTACCTCACTCATCTTCTTTCGCTAGTCTAAGGCGTGTTTGGATCGCGGTATAGCATTTTCCATCCTCTGTTAAAATACTCTTCCCAGATATTTAAACTTCAGCTGTCTTTTTCTCATCCTGCTTCATTCGTTAGTCCAGAGTGTGTTCGAATCTCGGTGTCGCATTTTCCATCCTCTTTTAAAACACTCCCCAGATATCTGAACTTTACCACATGTTTGATTTTTATACCTCCAATTTGGAACTCGAATTTTACTGTTTTCTACGATCATCGAAGTTAAGCAATATCGATCCTAGTCAGTATTAAGAAGGGCTACCGCTTGGAAATGCCAGGTGCTGTAAGCTTGGATGTGCTAGTAAGTATAATGAATAACGTCTCGGAATTGGAAACCAGATAGCCGAGTTCCAATTCCTGTCGGGGTCTTTATATTCACTTACATGCAAATATCTCTGGGAAAGGTATAGATCTACCTCATCACCTCCAAGCTGTGGGTTAATTAGTAGACCTTATAAATCACTATTATCTCAGAAATAAATATATTCTTACAATCTAAAAATATTTTACAACTTTAAATAACCCGCAAATAAACAAATCAATCATTCATTGGGCTTTTTTCTCTTGTTAATCAAATAGCTCTATTTGGAAATTAGAATAATCCAGTTTCATGTTATGTGCTAAAGTATACGAATACGAAATTATTAGGAATTTGTTTTTATGAACATAAATTGTTAATCTGAATTTGAAGTTGAAAAAGGGGTTTTACACTTTGATCTTTGTTAGACAAAGAAATGATCTCACAGTATAAAATATTTCTAGTGCAAAAATAGCAGGATGTTCACTGTAAGAACTAAAGGCAAAAACGACCACCGAAAAATATCCTATGCAAAACAAGTGATGAACATTTCATTTTTTTTCCTTTTCGTAAACGTAAACAATTAAAGGAAAACATTAAACTGATGAACTGCAAAATATTTACTATCAAATCACAAACTTGCAGAAAAAGAAGGGATGTAACCAAATTTGTTAAATCAAGGAAAACAATCGTTGCGGGGGGAAGAGAAAGCGAAAAGGAAATAAAAGAAAAAAAAAAGGAAAAAGAGAAGCAAA